TGCTGTGCATTCGGGATTTCGTTTGTCGGGTTTATGGCTTGTCGGGATTATGGTTTTCGGGATGTCGTACCAGATCCATATAGTCACACGCAGAAGCTGAGATCATCAAGACCACTCGTCGACTATATAAAATTACGCGTTTTGTGTCGTTGCCCGCATTCGCAAATATCTCGATCTCCCATCTAGAAAAGATAAATGATATTCAATTTCTCAAATTTGACCCTGAGTAATAATCTAAATGTAAATATAAATTATATTATTAAAGGTTGAACCTTTATCATTACTAAATAATAATAAATGTTACAAGAGTAATTATGCTAATTCAAAATAGATATGCGAACGCATTCTAGTCGTTTATTCTTTCATTGAAAATTGTCTAGTTATGAACATTCACATTCCCTTCACTTATTTTGATACCTCTGTGCATTACTCTTATATAGCTTTTCGTTCTTAAATAATATCAATAGAAATCTTAAATTTTCTCAAACGCATGGTAGAATTGCAAAAATTACAGTGTCTGAACATAATAAAAAGCATATATTCAAATAACTTCTAAATGTTATAATTGAGTCATTAACAATATGCTGTCTATTGAAGTTTTAATGCTAATAGGTTTTATTGTTCCCATACGACATCCCTTTAATTATAATGCATAATGTTAAATAGAACATTTTTGTCTTATTTATTCTTAATAATTCGGTTAATAATATAAAATTTTAAATTCAATAAATTTTTCCCGATATAAAGTTATATATTTGGCACTATCGGATCCAATACCTTGTATGGTTTTAAGTGTGCTTTCATCGCCAACATTTAAGATGTGAAGAATTTCAGTAATATTGAAATTTTGAGGCCGAGTAGCTTTTTAAGTTGTTGCTCTTTATCAGAATCATTGGAAATTAGAATAATTAAAATATCGAGAACAATTTTAAATTTGTCAAAATCGAGGTAAATTTGAAAATGATTATTGTTAGAATCAAGATTGCTGAACAACTTGTAAATGTGTTCGAAACCTGGTAGATTTTTGGTTTGATTTGGATCATTAGAATCTAAACTCTCAATTATCTTTATCAAATTCTCAATTTGCATCAACTCGGTGAATTCGTTGAGATTTCGCTCGAATTTGAAAAGTGGATTCTTCATTTTTTCAGTGGATTCGTTGAGATTTCGCTCGAATTTGGGAAGTTGAAATTAGTTTACTAAAAAACATACTCACATTACTACTGTTACCATTTCTACGCGTGCTTCAACTTCTGAAAATTATTTATCAAAGTTTGAATTGGAATTTCATCTTACTACTCGTTCTCGGTTTCGAGTTGAGCATCATTGTTAATACCATCATATTGGATTTGCATTTAAGTTGTACAAACATCTACGTATGGATATTTTATTTTCACCATCTACTTGAATGCTAAATGGTTTAGATATCGACAATCTAATAAAGAATGCATGAAAATCAGAAAGCATCTCTTTTTGAAGATTCACCAACATTGAATACGCGTCTTGAATCAATTTATGATTGCACAGGATCATAAATTTTATCCTTTTAATGTGATAATGCATATATAAAGTAATGCTTACCAGTTTCAAGCATGATATTGAAAGTGTTTCATCATGGAGTTGTTGCTCTTCTTTTCTTGAAAGAAACTCGATATATATCTCCATTCTCGTTGATTTCTGTTTTACAACACCAAGAAATTAAGAGATAATGAAAAAAATAAAAGGATCTTTTTAGCGTTAGTGTTAGATGATTCTGAATAAATACACAGTGAAACTCGATATAGCGAATTTGATCTATAACGGACTATTTTTTGGAACCAGCTATAAATAACATTATATAAATTTTGTCTGTTATAGATCTGTCGATTTACCAGACAGCATGGCAGGAACGGAGGGTCCGTTATATCAACTTTCACTGTGTAACTTGAATATGCTTAAAAAAGAATAATTTTTTCAATATTAAATATTTAAAATAATAAAAATTTAGCATATATTATTTTCAGTCTAGAATTCTGAAATTTTGTTGATTACAATATATTTGATAGTATTATAATTATTTAAAATAAAAATATTTTATTAATTAATGTTTATTTTTATTATTTATTTTTAAAAATTATAAATCATACTAATGATATTCAATATCACAAAAAAAAATAAAAAATTTATTAGTTTAAATTACAATTTGAAATATATATAAGGTTATCTTAATTCAAAATTTTGCAAGGAATATTTTTTGTTATATATAAAAAGCAAATTTTATAGGTAGAATTTTGAGATACAGGTCATTTTTAAAAAATTTGTTTTCTCTTTGTTTTGTTTTGAATTTTTTTATTATATATCAACTCTATAATTTGATTGTTTAAATGTTTTGATCCTGTGATCTGATTGATTTAATACTAGTATTCAATATCAGTGATGTAATTTATTAACATTATTTATTTTTTAAATAAAAAATAATATGGTACTGGAAATTTATAATTATCATATAATAAAAATAAGATCATATTCTACTTAATATGGAGGTAATTTCAAAAAAAAACTAATAACTTTGTAATTTGAGATATACTTTATAAAGTTATTAGTTTAGTTTTTTAAAAATTTTTTCTTGTAAAAAGTCTTAGTGGTTTAAAAATAGCTTATTTTTATTATGTGATTGATAATTATAGATTTTTAGCATCATATTATTATTCATTATTAAATAACATATTTTTCTTTGTATTTCTTACATTTTTAATAATTTAAAAAATTAAAAAATAATTAATTATGCTTTTTATTTATCTTTTTTCATTCACCAGTATATATATAGTATACATACTTATTCTTTAGCATATAATAATACACATCCTCTGAAAATAGAAAATATATATTATTATATATGTGTGTATTAATATATAAATACCAGAAAATATGAATATTAATGTTAGTATAATTAGATATTAATATCAGATATAAAAATAAATTCCTAGAGAGACATAATTATAATCTAAACTAGTTTCAGTTATCTTTTTAAATTATATTATATTTAGCCAGATATCAAAAAATATGGATCAGATATTGATGCAGGGTACCGAAGAATATAGATTGATGTTAGTACCGAATGTTAGAAAATATTGATTGGCTAAAAAAGAGAGAGAGAAGAGGAAAAGGGAAAGAGATAAGAAAAGAGGAAAGAGAAAGGAATCTTGATTTGAAGAAAGAAAGAAAAAAGAAAAAAAAGAAAGCTAAAAAATACAGAATATATATAATAAATTCAATAATTTATTATGCTAGTTTAATCATGCTTTTTTATTGATGTGCATGATCTAATAATGTTGCGTGTTCCATTTGTATAATTTATTACTATTGAGTGTTCATTTGTAGCTGGGTTTTACGTAGTTATTCCATAAAAATAATAATTTATTCTATTATCATTATACTTTATGTACATTGATATCGATCAATATTTTTATTTTTGCTAATGATAAATTCGTGATATAGGTAACATCCAACACAGCGCTCATTTCCTTGGCAAAAGTACCAGTACATTTACTATAATCATGAGTATTGTTAACTGAATACTCATCGCAGTACTCGTAGTATTTACAATTATACAGTTCTTACTACAATCGTGAATATTGTGAACTGAACATGCTTTGCAGAATTCCATCCTTGAAAATAAACACATTTCCAACAATTACGAGTATTTGAAGTTTTAGATTTCGCTATGGTCAATCAAGTTGTTTTTTCAACACAGCTCTCGTCAAACTTCAGAAATTCTGTACAGAAATTGCATGTAAAAATCCGGCTGCAGTTTTTCAATCCAGCGATTTTGTAGAAATTCAAGAAACAGCACTCATCTCTTTGCTCAGACGAGATGATTTGAATCTTAAAGAAATTGAAAAGGTTCTGGAGTAGGAAATCGTACAAATGTCAGCTTCTAGCAATGTCGACTTATCGATTCAGTGGACCTATGGTTACAAAACGAATTCAACGAACTTGGAACTGCACTTAAAAATTGTCCACCATTCTTTTAAAACTCTGTTGATTTCTATAATAAAGTGATGCTGTACTCGAAACCACTATAAAAAGAGCTCTATAAATATTTATTGCATCATTACTTGGTACCTAGACATGAGAAACAACAAGCGTCACTTCACCTCACCAACTCAACATCAACAACTCTTTCATAGCCAATCTGATAAAATGATTCAATGGATAAAAGAAACAAGATATATGTACATGTACAATGGTCGAAAGGGGCATTTTCACCTGGACAAAAATATAAAATGTGAGTAATATGCATATCGATATGTTTTAGATCGATATTGTGTTTCTAGTTAATCTCTGCGGCTTAGCTTGACTTTCTTCGAGCAATACTGGATCGATTGATATCGATGCTATAACGTACGTAAATACGTAGTTATCGATATCGTTGTTAATGGACATTTGATTGTTTGTCCAATTTTCGGGATGCTACATAAATTATCAGAAACAAAGTTAGAAAACTAATAAACAATACGCAAATGTTGAATATCTTGTGAAAGGAGATTTGAGATTATTTATAAAGCAACCGGCCTGGCCTGGTTGGACGGATCATTGACTAAAATATGGAATAACTTTGAACGATCTACATAATTCAAATGAAAGTGTAAGCATGATGTTTTTATGTTTTCTGATGCAATTAAATTATTATTTCAAAGATTCAGACAGCTCTAAAGTGCGCCTATGGAATATCTCAAAACCTAACTATAAATGAGTACTCGATAATAATGAAAAAATTCATGAAGAGGGTTTTGTGCATCGTAACTTCGACTCTGGCAATATACTATTGAATTGTAATATTGCTCGAATTGCTGATTTTGGGGAGCGGTTAAAGCGTAGTCCATCCGATAATCTGTCCGAAAAACAAACCAATGAGGATGCGTAAATTTTTAATCAACCCGGCAAACCAAATTTGAAGCAAAGACAAAAAATGAAAAAATACGGAAAACAGGTGTTTAAATCTTTCTTGAAGCACTAATTAAAAATGTCAAGAAGGCAATTTTAAATATAATCTTGATCTCCTTCCCAACCCTAACCTTAACCCTAACGTTAAAATTACCTTTTAATATTTTTAAGATATGTCACGTGATGGACTACGCTTTAACCGCTCCCCTATTTTGGTTGACAATAGGATAGAATATGTAATTAGGATCATCGTGGGTGATCACCGAAGAGTTTGCGCTTGAACATTATTGCGGAATTAAAGGATTTATTGTTACTACGGTAACAGTACATGAACCCCTATATTTCAATGCAGATCAGTTTATTAAAATAAAATATAAATAAAATACACGACTTCTGATTTATTAATTATAGAAAACTCGGAGTAGTTTGACTAGACAGTTTCTGTTTAAATAATGCAAGTGAAAATTATTGACAAATTTTTGAGTTTATGTAATAATAAAGCTGCTTTGATATATTAATTAAAGTTGTTTTTATCATTCAAATCTTCAAATTTTATTAGATTTAATATTATTAAAATATTTTTATTTTGATATAAGGTAAAAAGGGGTATTGTGACGAAGTAACGATGCCTCGATAACTAGCGACCTGAATCGCATGAAACTACTATCATTCGATTTGCCATGCCTAGACGAATCGAATGGTGGTATTTTCATGCGATCCCGAACGCTAGTTATCGAGGTATCGCACTGAAAGTCATCATATGTCAGATTTTCGCCAATTGCAAGAGCGATACCTCGATACCCTGCGATCGAAATCGCATGAAAATACAACAATTAGATTCGGCATGTCTAGTCGAATCGAATGGTAATATTTCATATAATTTCAATGGCAGGGTATCGAGATATCGTCCCCGTATGCCAAAATTTAATATAAATTGGCGAAGATCAAACATACCGATACTAATTTTCAAGGCCATATCTTGGTATTGTTACCGGATTAAGAATAATTTCGCTAATCTCTCAATTTTGGTAAATCCGCCTAACCCGATTTCGTTGGTTTAATTTCGCTTTGAA